ACTGATTGCCTGAGGTGAAGTGACTGAGAGTTGATGCAATTCACATCTTAATTAACTCTTCAGCCAACAGACAGAAAGTTGTGTCTCTTTTGAATGTTGTAAAATGTAAAGATGTAGCTGTTCCTAGTTGTCTTCTAGGATTAGCTTTTTTTAATGCCAGTTTACTTGTTATCTAGGTAGGAGTTTTCCTGGGGAAAAGCACGTAGTTTAGCTGTTAATCTGTAAATACCAAACCTTTGTGCTTGCATTGCATATTTAGGATTGTATTCTAATGTATGCTTTAGGAGAAAAAGTTGTCTGTCAGGTTTGCTTAGGTAGGCATGAATGCCTAATTCACTGGGAGTCAAGGAGATGTAATCCTAGGTTGTATTTCCACGTTGCACAGATCCCTAGATGTGGCAATCTTGCTTTGAATGGGTCAGGTTGCTTTTGGTTTCAGGCAATCTAGAATATGTTAAACTGAGCAGACTGAAGAAATGAGGGGAACAAAAACGAGATTAAGTATCAAAAGGTTGGCTTCCAAGAATGTGTAAAATCAGTATAACAACTAAAAGTTGTATAGTTTAACATCCGCTCCCCACACTTTGTCGTGGACTGCCATGCAACACACAGAGTACACAGCACATGAGTGCAGTGAGGAGAGTGATCAAAAAGAGGAAAACCAAACAGTGCTGTTTTCTCACACAGAAAGTCTTTCTGTGTACTTTCCAGAGCGTCATATACCATCCTATTGCTGTCAGTTTTGTGAGGGTGCTGGATATTTTTAAAGAACTTTCATCTATTTGTAGAGAAGAAAGCTGACAAATCACTAAACCCAAGTCTGGGTTACAGAGGAAACTCTGCTGTCTCCAGGTCTGAGAATCCTTGCTGCTAGGGTTGGCATTCTCATGGGATGATTCCTAATAATAAACTAAGCAAGCTTTAAAAACTAAATTTAAGTAATAATCAACCTAATAAGTAATGAATGCTGAATTAATTGCTTGTTATATCAGTAGCAGTTAATTAAAATATAGGTGAAAGCTCAGAAAAACTGACAGCTACTCACTGAAATTGCAAGTGTGCCACAAACTGTTCAGTGTTGTGTATTTCTGTGGAACACGCATGGAAAAGAAATGGTTCATATGACTGATTAGTTGGCACAAGTGCCATGCACAAATGTCTCTGCTAATATTATAATCCCTGTGAAATAGTGACTAACCTTCTTAAAGAGTATAATAATGGGACTATTCTGAAAAATTTCAGTAGCCTCAAGACCTGCACAGATTCACAAGTTGAAAGTGTTGAACAAATAGGTATGACTCAACTCTAATTAACGTATACCCAAATATGTTTGAACAGATTCAACTGTAACAGTCTTTTGTTACCTCCTATATTTGCACACCAATTTAAGGTCTGCACTTCTGAGTAAGGCCAGTAGCAATTGATCTGCAGTGAAGCGAGCAATGGTACAATGTGGAGTCCCAAATGGTACACACATGTTTGGAGAAAAGGAGATTACTAATACTATTGAAATACCAATCAAAGTGTTTCAGCAAGCACCAGGCAGCTGCAAAACATTTAGGGACACCTCAGGAATTCCCTTGAGCAGAAGTGAGACAGGAAATAGTGAGAAGCTGAATAAAGTAGCTGAAGAAAATGCCTTTATTTAAAAGAGGGATGGATTCAAAAGAAGTTCAGCACATTCCAGTGCAGAATATAGAATAGGTATCATCTAAAAAGGAGAGGATATATTGGATATAGAAAACATAAATTTCAAAAAACTGAAATTTAAAATTTTCTTCCACATTATCTGGAACTTCGTGTTTTAAAAGTAACTTGCTAGTTGTGATGGTAATTGAGTTCAAAGGTAATCATTCCTGTCTGCTTACACAGTTATGTATGGAGAAATGCCATTTAGTCATCACATTAAATTTAGGGAACTTCACCTTACAAGTCTGTTCATAGTGATGAGCCAAATTTTTGCTCAGTGTGTTTAGAACCTGTTCATTTTCAGAAGAAATTTGGCAATGTTTTAACAAATGCTAGTTGAGTGACTACTTCGATAGTCTTGTATTCTGAGACAGGGTAAGTTTGGGACCAGAAAACATTCTAAGCAGCAGTCCTTTAAGTGTGCTGGTGGAGCTGTAGGGTGCAATAAGCCAGTGTAGAAAGACTGTAAGTACCAAGAGGAGAGCTACAGCCACTGCCATGGCAAGAGCTGAGGAACCAAGGCAAAGGGTTCTGTCGGTACCCTTGTGATCACCCAGGACTGCAAGGTGCTGATGGTCATGTTGAACGAGCATCCAGCAACTATTCGGAGTGTGAGCTCCCAGTGTGCTGATCTGGCATCCTCGTGGCAAGTGTGAATGGGTCACTTGCCAAGAAACAGCCATGCTTTTGGGTTTTTTTAGCTTTTACCCAGAGAAACAGGCAGGGTGTGTGGGATGGTGCCTTTTAAGCAGGAGGGCTGGAAGCTGAAACCAGAACATTCCGTGGCAAATGGAGAAAGTTCTGAGGAAAGTGCTCTGAGAGAGGCAGGACCCCCCTCCCCCTGCCTAGAGGAGAGACAAAGAACAGGCGAGGAGGGAACTGAAATAGGAAGCAGGAACCATGTCAGGAGGCTGGGGGCTAAAAGAAAGCAAATTAATAAACCACTGGGGGAAAGGCACACAACTGTCCAAAGCCACTAGGAAAGATAAGCAAATTCCAGATTCTTTAACTGCTCCGTGGCTGGCTGTGCTTGCAGCCTGGCTAGTGAGTTAAACATGATCATTTTCTTCACTGTAGCAAGTACAACTTGTGTGTGTCTGTGACACACAGATTTAAGAGAACACAAGCACTATGTTATCCATATAATAGAATGTATTTAAGCTGGGTTAGTCAGCATTGCTACCACTCCACATCGAATTTCTCAAAGTATATGTTCATATCAGGGTGTGTGCACACAAAGTGCAGTAAAAAAGTTACTGGTAATATTCTGACTGCAGTAGAGACAAACAGTTCCTATGGAAAGCATAAGAAATCTGGTGTACAGGCTGAGGGCACTGTGTGGCCTTAAGTATTAACGTAATATTTTGAAAGTTGGAAGCTTGGTGCACTCATTTGCACATCAGTACCCAGAATGCTTTTTCAGTTCCACCACTATTCAAGTGCTGGGTTGGAGCTTTTGGAAGGCTCTGAGTTTGTGATGCCCTCACATGCGCCAAGCTCACTATTTTCCGCAGAATAGTTTAAGTGACAATATTAGATCGTGAATAGGTGGTCCGAGCATTCTTAATTAGGCTTGATGTTACAAATGCAAAAAAGTGTCCTTGAACACTTTTTTCCAAGCGTTGTCTTTAACAAAACAAAGAACTCTGTTTGGGGTATGTGTGTGTGGGGGGGGGGGGGGGGGGGGGGGGGGCGGGGGGGAGATGTTTTTTCAAAAGTAGAGAAAAATTCCTCTCTAAGACAGAAAGCAGATTTCAGATGCAAATGAATAACGATGATGTTGAAATAGCAGCTCTTCATAAAGAGACCTCGAGCACACAGGGAAGATTCAGCACTAGGACAGTCCAGACAACCCTGCGCAGTGCATTCGGCAGTGCCTTTTGGAGCGTTTAACCTGGGCCGGGGAAGGGTAACTTGAGGGAGCGGGAGCCTCGCCGCGCTGGGGCGCGGGGCGCTCCGGGCGCCGTGGGAACCCCGGGTGCGCGGGAGGGGCTCCGCGGGCAGCGCTTTCCCCAACATGGACGCGCTCGGGGCTCTGAGGTGCCCGTGCCTCCCGCAGCCCCCGGCCCGCGGGTACCGTTCCTCCCAACAGCTCCCAAGGGGAGGGCATTTTCGCACTGGAAGAATTCCCGCTGTACCCCTTCCCTCCCCCACAATGCCGGCGCTTCGCTCTTCTAGCGAGGCTGAGAGTTGATCGTGTACGGGGGGTGGGGGGTGAGAAATGCAATGAAAGACCGGGGGGAGGCCGGTCTGCGCTGCAGCCCCTGGCCCCTCTGGGATCGGCTCTCCTCAGGCGAGCCGAGGAGCGGGGGCCGCTCTGCGCCTCTGCAGCTCCGGGAGGGTTTGCATTGGACGAATCGCGCCTGGGGAGGGGGGAAGGTTGCCTGCAGCCCCCCCGCCGGCCCCTCCTCCTCTCTCCAGTGGGAGGGGGGTCTCGGGGGCGAGCTGCAGCCCGGATATTTGGGGGAGGGGGCGAGCGCAGCCCCACCACCCCCACGAGCCGCGGAGGGGGGGGCCTCGCTGCCGGCTCGGCATTGGAGGATCGGTGCTGGGGAAGGGGGAGACTGCAGCCCCCAGCCCCCGCGGGCGGGCGGGGTGGGGGCCGGCCTGCTGGCTCTGGCTGCTCTTGCATTGGCGGATGCGGGGAGGGAGGGGGGCAGGAAGCGGGGGGGCAGGGGGGGAGCCCGACTGGCTGGAGGGGGGGTCTCTGTGAATAGGGTGGGGGTCTTCTCGTCCAAAGAAGAGAGGAAAGTTTGCGGCGCCGGTGGTGAGGGTGCGTCGAAGCGGGCGGGGCCCGGACCGGGGCCGGCGGCGGCGGCGCTTGGTCGGGGAGCAGCAGCCGGGGGGCCCCCGCTGGATTTTTGTAGGGGGGGTGGTATCGCCCCCTCCTTCTCCTCCCCCCAGGGGTGAAAGTGCAAGAGGAAGTGCAGCCGCTGCCATCTTTCCTCCGCTCCAAACACACAGGGACGGACGGAGCCGGCAGCCCGGAGCCGCCGCCGGACCCCCGTCCCTCCCGGCCGCTGCCGCCGCGCCGCGCACGCCCCTTCCCGCGGCGGCTCCGCGGCCGCAGCGCCTCGTGGCGGCCGGGCCCGGGCGGGGCTCGCGCGGCCGCGCGCGCGCCTCGGCCGCCCGAGCCTTTTGTCTCGCCCCCCCCGCGCCGCGCGAGCCCCTCGCGCTGTGCAGGGAGCGCCGCGCGCGCGCCGCCGGCCCGGGCAGGGGCGGGGAACGAGCAGGAGGAGGCGGCGCGCGCCGCCGGGCGGCCCGAGAGCGCGCGCGCCCCCTGCGGGCGCCGGCGCGGCGGCGCAGCCCCCATGGAGCGGGTGAGCGAGGCCGCCGCCTGCGGCCCCTCGTCGGGCTGCTACACCTACCAGGTGAGCCGGCACAGCGCCGACGTGCTGCACAGCCTCAACCAGCAGCGCAAGAACGGCGGCCGCTTCTGCGACGTGCTCCTACGCGTCGGCGACGAGAGCTTCCCGGCGCATCGCGCCGTGCTGGCCGCTTGCAGCGAGTACTTCGAGTCGGTGTTCAGCGCGCAGCTCGGCGACGGGGCAGGTGGTGGCGGCGGCGGAGCGGAGGGGAGCGCTGCGGAGGCGGCGGCCGGCGGGGCTGCGGCGGCGGCCGGCGGAGCCCCCGGGGGCGGGCGGGAGCTGGAGATGCACACCATCAGCTCCAAGGTGTTCGGAGACATCCTGGACTTCGCCTACACGTCGCGCATCGTGGTGCGGCTGGAGAGCTTCCCGGAGCTCATGACGGCCGCCAAGTTCCTGCTGATGCGCTCTGTGATCGACATCTGCCAGGAGGTCATCAAGCAGTCCAACGTGCAGCTCCTCGTGCCCCCCGCACGCCCTGACATTATGCTATTCCGTCCGGGTGCTGCTGACCTCGGCTTCCCTCTTGACATGACCAACGGTGCCACTTTGGCACCCAATGGCAATGGCATTGCTGGCATGCCTGAAGACGAGGCCACGCGGGCTGCGCTCACTGCTGCGCAGTCCTCCCTACCTGTCCTGCAGGGTGTGGACCGCCTGCCCATGGTGGCAGGACCTCTATCCCCACCACTGCTGGCCTCACCCTTCCAGAATGTTGCTGCTAGCGCCCCCACTTTAAGCACCAAGAGGGGCAGAGGGCGCCCCCGTAAAGCCAATCTCTTGGACTCCATGATGTTTGGTACCCCAGGGGGCCTGCGAGAGGCTGGTATCCTGCCTTGTGGTCTCTGTGGGAAAGTATTCACGGATGCTAATCGTCTTCGGCAGCACGAGGCTCAACATGGGGTGACAAGCTTACAGCTGGGCTACATAGACATCCCACCCCCACGACTGGGTGAAAATGGTGTTCCTGGTCAGGATGACCCCGACGCACCTCGAAAAAGAAGCAGGACGAGGAAACAGGTGGCCTGTGAGATCTGTGGCAAGATTTTTCGGGACGTGTACCACCTGAATCGGCACAAGCTGTCACACTCTGGCGAAAAGCCTTACTCTTGTCCGGTGTGTGGCTTGCGGTTCAAGCGAAAAGACAGGATGTCCTATCATGTTCGATCGCATGATGGCTCTGTGGGAAAGCCCTACATCTGCCAGAGCTGTGGAAAAGGCTTTTCCAGGTAAGAGAGTGCTTGTGTGGACCATGGACACAAACAGAGACCTAGGAAGTTGACTTTCCTATATCTTGGAAATGTACTTAGGGTAGTTTGACTGTCCCACTTTTGAATGTGTAAAGGAATGAGACTTCCATCATTTTCTCTGAGATGCTATTCCGGTCTCTTGGAAAGGTTTAAAAGTAATTAAGACATCGAACTGGGAGTCAGCTGGCTTCTGGCTAACGGTTCTCAGCTTTGTCCCAGAGTTGGTGTATGCTTGTCCTTGGGCAAATCAGTTAGTCTCTTCCTCAAATGACTCTTTTGTGAAATGGGTATTGAATAATTACCTGCCTCACAGAAGTGTCTTGAGATCCCTGATGTGTAGGTATCTTGAAGGTGCTGTTGAAGTGCAAAGTAATACATCTCAAGATTATTATTTTTCTCGTATCCATTTTAAATTTTCTTTTTCTTAACTTCCCTTCATTTCTCTTAGTTCGTAATGTTTTTTATCACCCAAATGTGAAGGAAGAGGTGAGATTTCAAAGGCTGCAGCATCAAGTATCTTTTAATACATGATCTTTGTGTCCTTTGGGTTTACATCCTTCTGAAGGGGATCCTGTTTCTGCCCTGCAACATACGTAAGATCTGTGCATTTAATGTTGCTGATTTTTTTGTTGTCGCTGTTTGTGGGAGCTAATTTAATAAGTAGTTTGGTACACGTAGTTGTGTTAGTGGTATCTTATAGTCTTAAGTTAATGAATTCGAAACTTTTTTGGAAGTTTGCCGCTCGCTTTGAGTGTAGAAGTAGTGGGGGGAGGGGGATGTGCTCTGCTATTTCTGTACCAGCAGTCGGTTTTCTACAGCAGTTGATTTGCTCTAGCTTGAGGGATGGACTCGAGATCTGAAAACAAATCAAAAGGCCACCAGGCTGTGTAAATTGTGGAATTTTGTCCCTACTGTCTTTTTGATAAAGGGACTTTCTGTTATAGAAATAAATTATGAAAATGTAGCCCAACCCCTCCCCCTCTTTTTCTTTTAAATCGGTAGTAATTACGGATGCATCTTCATAAGGACTGCAGATTGAGTGATGGAAGGTCACAAAATGAAAATTTCATCTGTGGCTAGAAGTGAAAGTACTTTTCTTTCTATAGTGCTACCCGGGACCGCGTGCCAAGTTTTATTGTTTTTACTGACACTTAAAAGATTTCGGCTGTTGCTGTATGAAAGGTTTTTGTCATTAAGGGGAACTGAGACATACACGTGTAGTTCTTATTTTCCCCAGTAAGATCATGTGAACAGGCGGGAATGCTGTTACAAATGTTAACAACAAAACCGTTTGCGTATCTGTAAAACCGAAATATGAATGAAAACTATAGAGACTCTTAAAGTTTCAGTATTCCCTCTCAGGAGCAGCCAGAGGAAGCTGGAAGCGTGATGTCCTTCCCTGTATTCAGTAGCGCAGCACGTGAGGCTGCTGGGCTTGAGGTTCCCAGGACCCCAACCAGTCTGTCCGGTTACACCGCCCCAGCCCAGCGCTGGAGCATCGGCTTTAAGAGCCTCCCCGCGCAGTCCAGCCTATTTTCTGTCTGCAGTGCGTGAATTCCATCCCGTGCCCTCTCATTGGTGCAGCTGGGAAGTTGGGGGAGGAGAGGGTGGAGAACTTGTTTCCAAGCAGTTTTGGTCTCATACAATGAAAAGCTTTCTTCCCACTAGGAGAAACTCCCACCAGGACAATCTGCAGCTCTTCAAGTCCTTTCTTCTTCTAAGTAGGCTTTGCTGGTTGTGAAGCATGGTCTAACTTTCTACAGTAAAAATTTGCTCTTCCATTGCACCTTCTAGTTGGAATATTCAGAGCACTTTATTTCTATTGATACAGTCTCCCTACCAAGTTTTAAGTCAGGAGTATTTTTTCCATCTTGCAGGTGGAAAATGTGTCACAGCAACAGAGTTTAGATAGTCTTTTTGCAAGAGGTGCTTAAAGTTGGCTTTTTAAATCTGTGTTTAGGACCTAAACCACAAGGGTGTGATTTTCAAATATTCAGCAACTGTAAATCACAGTGCCCTGATTGTTAAGGTCTAAATAGGATTTTGGATGGGGACATGCAGGCTTGAAAATCATAATTTGTATTTCCTGTTTCCTCTGAACATTCAGTCATGATTTCTTTCTGATAAAATGCTGCCTTTTTAGCAAGTTGCAGAGGGTACATAACAAGGTAGAGTCTCAGTTATTTGCAGTCTGATTCTTGGAAAGTTAAATATCATTACAATTGTCATAGATACTAAGCACGGGGATATATTTTTTTTTTCCTTACATTTTTCTTTTTTTTTTTTTCCTGTTAAAATTGTAACTTTATTTTTAGTATTTGTTTTAAGTGTGCTTATGTGTATTTTCCTTTAAGGCCAGACCACTTGAATGGACACATCAAACAGGTGCATACCTCAGAGAGACCTCACAAGTGTCAGGTAGGAGCCAGAGGGGTTTAGATTAATGATGTGGGTAATCTTTGGCATTTCATTTATGTGTGCAGACAATTTTGAAGTACCAGTAGAAATACCATGTATATGTGATTTGGGATAAATGTTTGTAAAGAACAATGTTCCACAGTGACATCTGCTTTACATCCCTCCCGTCCCACCTCACCTCATCTACAGCTTTGGTTCTCCTGCCTCTCCCCCTTCTAACACATGTTCTTCCCTACTGTGCTGTCCCAGTCTCACCCTGGAGCTCTTACCCAGCCACCTGGGCTTGGAATTGATGTCACTGATGATTCCCTCCCTTTTTTTTAATTGCAGTTGTTGCCATCAGGAGGCTCCAATGCTGACTTCATTTTTTTATAACTTCAGTAAAAAATGAGTAAATTGTAATTATCATAACGTGTCAAGATATTATTTTTTTAAATTGCATAGCCTTCAGAACATTGCACTGAGCAAAATTGGAAGCTATTTTTATCTCAGGGAGAATATAAATAATGACATCACAATATCCTTTGTTGTACAATGTCATAATACTGTATATAGTTTTTGACAGATAATAAGTTTGAAAGATCAAATAAAGGAAGATATTTTGTAATCCATTTATAGAAATATTTAAAAGGTGCCTGGAAGTATCAATTAAAACAAAGTTGAGAATCAGCTTCCACCATCATACATTGCCATCAGAGAGATGTTGGGCTAACAATCTCCATGCTTGGCTTTTGAAGAAATATTTAATATTTATTTAAAGAAGCTGAAGCAAGATTCTATTCCTTTTTTTCTTTTGAGGACAGTGAAGGTTAGAGGATTTTTTCTTCTAAAATATTTAACCATGTTTTATGAACCTAGACAGTCCTACATGATTGCTGCCTCCTGATCTGCATTGTTGCACGTTTTGACACACCTATATTTCCTTCAAACTGTGAGAGTTTTGAAACGTTTTGAAATTTTAAGAATCCTGAGAAGTTTTCTAGACAGCTGGAGCCATGTAAAGGTTTCTGTTGACATCCATATGATCTCTGAAAGCCCAGCACATCTGAAAGTCAGGCCACAGAGGTGTCACATTGATTTAACTGCCTGTCCTGTATAAAGCTTTGGGTTGGCTCAAGTGTCTTGAGATGATTTATGGGTTAGATTTATACAAACAGGAAAATTCCACTCATAAAAAGAATTCACATGTGGGGACAGCAAGAGGTCTGTGAAGGAGCTGATGATGAATGTTTACGTCCCAGCATGAACAGACACTCATCAGTCTTCTGCTAGTTGATACCAAGATTACTGGATGAACACTGTTTACAAATAACATGGATAGCTATGAATTGTCCTTTGCCAGGTGATGACTGATAATTCTTTCATAGTTTAACATTGATTTAAGAATATTAAATATCAACTCCGTGTGAATCAGAGGATACACTAAGAGCTCAGAAGTAAAGAAACATGGATGCTATGATGGCACAGCCAAACTCAAATCCATTTCCTTACACACATGTATTTTGTGATAGCACTTTCCAAGAACAGTCTTTCTTACTGTGTGTTATCTAAAGTGTCATAATACTGTATACACTGTTCATTTCAGTTAAAAGGTACAGGCTAGAGGTTACAATCATCAAGGCAGAGTTGAGATTTATCCTTCAGGCTTGGGTTATCCTTGAGTTTTGATTGCTTAGCCCTGCAAAGTGAATTTTTTGCAAATCTTAAAGCACAGAAAATTTGTTAATGACCTGTTGTGTATTTGCAGAAAATGTTTTGCAATATCCTATCAGATTTAGAAAGTCTTCTTGAATATGCACAGATCTGCTATATATTGTAGACATCACAGAAGGGATGCAATCACTGAAAACTTGTTTCAAATATGAAAACTGACAAATAAATTGATGATATTCTCCTTGTGATTATCTCATAATCAGTTACACACCTGTTCCATTATATGTATCTAACACAGGATCTGGCCACCAAGAAGGAAAATAACTTAATATTGACATGTTGTTTGCCCATTTTCCATTGTCTTTTCCCATTGATTTTGTTTGGCAAATTAGCTCCCCCTGAGAGCAGCCTGAACAGCATTGAGCATCCTTTTTGAATCTGTTCAGATCCTGTTGAAAATTCCTGTTATTGTTGTGCTTTGTTTATGTTTACCAGGAAAGAGAATTACTCTGTCAGTAAAGAGCAGAGCACTCCAGAATCTTCCACTGTGATAGCATTTTTGGAATTTGTGCTCTGTTATGATTTAAACAAACTGGCCATTTGCCTGAGCTCTTAGGTATCTTTACAGACTGGTTATAGATAATGTTTTGTTGGTGTGGCAACACAGTACACTTTGGAGTACCAAAACAAAAATGGGAAGGTGTCAACCCAACTTCAGAATAAATGAAAGTATGAGAAACAGGATAATTTTAAGCTGAACATCCCTGCAACAGCAGTAATTTTTAGTGCTCGGTTTGTTATCCTGCACTCATCCCCCTGAAATAATGGCTGTGCTTCACAGATCTTACACAAGTATCCTAGCTTCCAGCACCTCTAGCACCTGATGCCAAAGTCTTGTCTCCAGCTTTTTCATTACTGTTAAAATAAACTTGGATTAGGGAAGATCTCCACAGAACCAAAGCAGCTGAGAAATCAGATCTAAGAAGTTGCTTTGGTGTCCAGGCAAATAGCACTCTGGATCTTCTCCCTTGGATTGTTGCACTGGTGAATTTATACTTTTTTCCCCAGTTTGACAGCTGAGTTCTGGCTATAGGAGAAGGAGGGAGTCAGTTTTATGGCTAGAATGGGGCAGCTCAGTTCCTGACCCCACAGGATTGGGGTGAAGCTGTCGGCCTTGGCTTGCGATCTATGAAAGTCAGGCTGCAGTTTGGGAGCAAACGGTGATCTGAAAATCTGTGGACATGAAAGAACAAGGGGAGAAAACGGAAGTTTGCTCCTCTCAGAGACAAGACAGGTTGTTCATCAGGCAAATTAAATAAAAAATAAAAATGCTGGTTAAATTAAAGCACAACTTAATTGGCATCCCAAGTCCAGTGCGTATCCCATTGATTTCAATGCAGAATGAGTTTCTTCCTGTCCTAATTTCTCTTACTTCCTGCCTATTAGCAGGAAAATGGCAGCCACCATGGAATAAGCTCAGAGACATCCACATCCATAGAAAAGTTGAAACTTCAAGAGGTATTTCTTAAACAATGTTTTTTAAACTTTATATATTCTTTTTGATCTATTTATATACCTGTGCAATGTTTGATAGGAAAGCACTGGAGAGTTTTCTTCTATGATTAACAATTAATGACAAATACTTGGCACTCATTTAGCCCTTCACATCTTTCATAAAATAAAACTTTTTTTTTCTCTATGCCTTTTATAAATATTAACTATTTGAATGTTAACTTTGGGATTTTCTTTAACCCTAGTCTTGTCACCCATTGTTATGATTCAGCTAAACTAGTTCTTGCTTTCTCCACTGGACTTAATTACTGTTTTTAAGCTTTGTTGCAGATATATTTATTATATAGTTTATCCAAAGGTGAGCTTTACACAACTCAGCAGCAACAGTGAGAAACCAAACACATGAATTATTGTACTGCTTTTACCTAAGCTTTCAACTTGCTAAGTTCACTGTGGGATAAATTTGGTTTTACTTCTGGCATCGCTGTATTTATGTGATTTGTCTCTGGTCTGCTTCTCATCGGCTAATGCACTCCCAATGCTCGTGTATGGACCTTCCTGTGGCTCCATAGCTTTAGAGTTATTGATGATGGATCTCTTGGCTGTCATTGTTGATAGTCTAGTCATATATCTTTAGTTGATACCCAGCAGATTGATTTGTATCAGTGCTGCAGTCCTGCCTTAAGAGAGTGCTTACCTCCAAGAAAGCTTTAATAAGTGAAAGCTGCACCTGTTTTGCTCAGTGCTGTGTACTGAGATTACAAATGAAGAGATATCTTCCATGTTCAAGAATTTGCCTCTTAAACCTCAATACTTGTAATTTATAAATCTTTTGTCTGGTGGGCCTAGTTAAACTGTGTATGTTGCAGAAATCCAGATAATTTTACTGTTGCCTTTTCAATTTCATTAAGTCCTGGTCCTCTGGGTATTAAGTCTTGTACTTGCTGCAGAGCAGCCTCAGGTTCATAGGAGTTTTCCACACTTAAGCATCTCACAGGATCGAATTATTGTAAAGCCTGTTGAAATTGATAGGTGCTTTTCAGCTGCCTTCAATGGTTTTTGGATTAAGCTCTTGATTAACTGAATTTTATGTAATTACATTATCCTCTTCTGTATTATCAATTCCACTTATTTGAATTATACTTTTGGAATTTTATTAAGATTGTTACTTTAACAAGTCTTATCTTTATTGAAATAGTGGTTTAATTACACACTGATATTTAAAAATACAGTATATACCCAGTTACCAAGACAGTGAACAGCCTCAAATTATTTCTTTGGAGGTTCTGGTTATATCTCTTAAAACTGTGTTATTTTATATGAAGTTGGTGTAAACAAAACACTGTACACTCTTGAATGGCACTGCTCTGGCTTAGTCTGGTCGTTCTGATGTGTGTTTGCTTTTGTTTCTCCTCTTGCACTTGTGAAATGGTTTAGACTATAACCCTAATCCCTTGTGCAGCATATTGCTGGTGATTTATTTCCCTTCACACATTAGAGACAGAGCAAGCCTTTCAGAGCTGGCAGGCCACTAGAACAGGCTGTGGGCACAGCCTGCCTGCCCATTGCTGGGGTTATGAAAATGGGAGGGAGCCTTCACTTATTATACATATTTCAGCTGGAAAGTGGACAAATAGAATCAAAATTATTTTATGCCAAATCAAGCTTTTGTGGCAGTAATGGAATATGTTACCTTGATCAGGGGTAAGTTAAAACAGATTAAAATGTCATGCAGTTATTTTGATACCTGCTCAGTTTTGAGGCTTCACTTGTACTGTTTGTCTGCACTGCTGCTGTGGATACCAGGATGACTCTTCTGCTGTCTCTCATCATATTGTCATCCCAGATAATTCTGTGATCCTTTGTTTGCATGTCTTCACACTTCAATAGAATTCTGTGTACTGAAGTTAGATTTATCTCATCAAAGAGTAGAATTTAGGAAAATGATAGAGAGAGAGAGCATTTGAGTGGTTTAAAGTGCTTGTAATGGCTCAGTGAAATGGCAGAATTTATTGTAAACAGAGTCAAGTGGTTTCTGCTATTTCTTCTGTTAAATATTACTTAAAATTTTAGTATCTTCATCCTCAGAAAGGAGCTAAAACCTTACAAGTCTATCTTGGTGTAAGTTTTACTATCTGTAGTGTGTCAGAGCTGTTTTCTTGCTGCTTTAATGTAGTAACATTACATCTTGTGCAAGGTGTTGGTGTTCTGAATTTTTTATCTGGGGGAAAATGGCTTGTGCATCATGTAATTTTTTGTGTTTGCACAGTATCTAAGGTATTTACTCTAAAGAATACTAAATACCTTCAACAATATCAGTGCTGTTAGAGAGCTGATGAGTCACATGGTTCTCGTTATACCTGCAGACTTGCAATGCTTCCTTTGCCACGCGTGACCGGCTGCGCTCACACCTGGCATGTCATGAAGACAAAGTTCCATGCCAGGTGTGTGGGAAGTACTTGAGAGCAGCATATATGGCAGATCACTTGAAGAAGCATAGTGAAGGACCAAGCAATTTCTGCACTATCTGTAACCGAGGTAATGAAGAAACTATTTTTTTAATCCACTGGGATGGGACAGCACTCAAGAGGAGCTGTAAGGCTGCATGACTCTCTGCAACAGGAGGATGTTGTACCCTATTTGTGTACATACTCTGCTTTTCCTACTGAATACTTAACCATGAAACTGATGGAGTATAGGTCTGGCCTTTTTGCATGGTAGATAGTTCCCAAAGAAATGCAGTTTAAATCTGAAGCAAATTTTATTTGCTAAATAGCCAGATCCCTATACAATAACCAAGATAAGTTGCCTTGCTGCTGTTCAACATACATCTTCTTTTTTTTTTTTTTTTCCTATACCTGATTAGATTTGAGGCCTTGCAGTCAGTTTGGAAGAAGAATGTTTTTGTGTCTTTGAAATACACATCAAGTTGAGAATCATACATTGAACATAAATCTACATTGTATTACTAAGTATTACTTAACCTCCTGGTGCAATAGAGTCAAGCTGCTTCTCCCTCTTAACACAAGCAACTGCTTTGTACTAATGTACATGTATAAAAAATACTTTGTAAAGAGCACTAGAAATGTGGTTTACCTTTATTTGTACAAATACAGCTTTTCACAGTTGGAAGGGACCCATAAAGATCGCCAAGTCCAACTCCCTGCTTTATGCAGCACTATGTAAAATGAAACCATATGACTAAACTTGTGAAGCTTTTCCATCTCTTTGTGGTACTCTTCAGTTGGAGAGAGTTGGAAATTTAGGCTTTGTGGGATGTAAGGCAAGCTGGGAAAATTATTTTGACTTATTGGTGTCCTTTTTTTTTGAGGGATTAATTCACAGCTTCAAAAATGTCTTTTTGGCTCACACAAGTATACGTAGCTAGTAGGTGTTAGAAGAGATTGCTGCTGTGTTTTGGGATCTTGTTTTTTTCGATGAGTCTTCTTTCCGGACTTGTTCTTTTTTCTAGTTTAAGAGAGGTGAAATCTTTTGAGAAAATAAAGCTCCTCTGTGTTTAATGTGCAGACTGTTCAGGGAGCTTATGGAGTTGATGATTAATGAGACATTAAATTGCAAGGGAGGTGTTTTCAGGTGAACAGTCTGTAAATCCTGAAAGTGATGGTATCAGTGTGAATGGAAAAGGCATCTGAGTTGAAAATCTTCAGGTTTTGAAGCTCCAGGTAGATGGTGTGAAATGAAGCTTGCCCTCCTTTTCAGCTGAAGGCCTGGCTTCTGAAAAACAGCTTGAGCTTATCCCAGTTCTTTTTGTGGCAACAACATGGAAGATATTGTTGGAGATCCAGGTGCTATCCTGCTCTCCTTCTGTTGAACGTAGTGCCAAACAGAAGCTAGATGGCAATTGTCTTGTTTCCAAGATTTGTAAGCTTGAATTTCAACTTAACTACCACTGGATGTCACTGCAGCTCTTTGGAAATGGAGCCAGTGTGACAAAGACAGACCCGGCATTCAAACAATAAAATGACTAAGTGGTTTATTCACATTTTACAAATCTAAATGTACAGTGAGAGTTTAAATAAAATATATACTTCTCTGTAGAAGGACAGGGAATCGGCTGTACAGCAAACTTTAAGCAACTACTTTCTTCTTACAGTTTGTGTATTTCATGAGAGTTGTCAGAATTGTCTGCTGTGAATTTCAGTTTACATCAGGATTTTAAAAATGTAATAATGAATAATGTGAAATTTCATAGGAAGTGTTAAAATTCATAAGAAGGGGAAGCTACAGACTGGATTTGTCAAACAATTGTGTTGTAAACTCGTTTTATGCTGTAAATTTTGATTATAGATTTATGATCAATGACAGCAGAATTTTTAATCCCAGGTGTTCTGGAATCAAAGGATAAATGTTCATTGTTTTAAACAGTTATTTTTTAAACTGTAGAGCCTGGAAATATGAAGTCTAATGGAAAATTTCTGGACTAGAAATACGTATTTGATAGTCATTGGTGCAGTCAGAAGCCACAGACAGTAACCTGATCACAGCTGTGCCATGGCTGAGGTGCTTGTGCAGAGAGGTTTTGTTTATTCTTCCCTTGGTTAATGTGCTGATGTATTTTTTAATTGAAACTTAGCTGGTTCTGGATATAGTAATTGTCAAGCAAGAATGCTCTACAAGCTCAAGCTGCTTGTGGAGAGAATTTTGGATGTTAGCCACTTAAAAAAAAAAAGTGGATGAAAAGGTGACATTCCCAGTGTTAATGAAGGATTTCGACTCCCTCAGTTTATCCCATTGGACTGAAGGCTTTTCTGTGGAACTTAATGAAGTGTCTCATACTGTTTTAAAGGTTTAATGCTTTAGGAGGTGGGGGTGCAACTCGGTACCTGGCAGAAAGCAGTAGCCAACAGTTTGCCATGTCATATGGTTCATTTGTTTATCATGCTTATTTCTTTTACAATGTGGCAGTATACTTTTAAAAAACTACCAGCTGTGATTTGATGTTTTTTTCCAGGTTGTTTTCTTACTCAAGGTCCTTATCCTTAGAGTAATCATGGAAGCAACTAAATCTTGTTAAACCAGGGAAACAGTGAAGTGATTCTGGGGGGTTTTGTGTTTTTTTTTTTTTTTTCCCCTGGGATTCTGGGGTTTGTTTTGGTTGTTTTTCTTTTTTGGGTTGGTATTTAGTTGTTGTTGTTGTTTTTTGTATTTTTTTTCTTAAACAATTTGTCTAAAATGTGCTTAAGAAACAAATGCTCAAGCCTCACATTTTTAGACAAATTCTCTTTAATCAGTTTAAATAAAGAAGAAATGCTCCTGTTACATTGTTACACAATCTTCTATTACCATCCTTAGGAACTTTATTTGCTTGTGTAGACTTTTGCAAAGTATTCAAGAGATTAATGACTTTGGCAGGTCTCAAGCTGGTAATTAGCAATTACACCTGCAACTCAGAACTTTGGGTTTGTGTTTCAAACACACATACATTGTTTCACAGAATCAAATTAGTTAGGAAAAGGGTAAATATTCCAATTGTTTCACAGATCAAATTAGTTAGGAAAAGGGTAAATACTCCAGTCACAAATGAGAATTTATTTTTCACACTGAGTTCTTATACATTTCATGGGGGATAGAATCCAGTAAATAAAGACACATGCTCTTAATGTTCCAGCTAAATCCAAATTACAATTTTTGAATAAGGAGCATCAGCATCCTGCAATTATTTCTCTAGTTTCTCTCCTTATAGATATTATCTAAGACATCAAGGGACAGGTCCCATTTATATAAAGGGAGATCATTTCCTCTCTATACATGTTTGTAATTTTGGTTCTTCTGGTATGAAAAAATAATCTGTCTTGCAAAGTGGAGAGATGTGTATGAGTAAAGCAATAAATACATTCCTACTCTGAAAAATACTGCCACTTTATCCTCTGGATTAGTCTGACTTTGCTCTGAAAGACACTTCTAAGAGTGAAAGATTATGGTCTGTAAACCCCCATCTTCCTAGGACAGGCATTCACAATTAAAGTCTGGTGGAGATAAAAAGGCCAGTGCTAAGCACTTCAGGAAAAAGTTAGGATGAAAACAACCCCAAAAAAATCTCCATTTAAATAGTTTCCCATGAAGCAGTTGGCATTCTTATGGTTTTGATGGAAGTTGATGACTCACATGTTCATCTGCCAAGTGCGTAAAGGGGAACTAACACACTTTGCAGCAGTTTTCATTATATAAAACAATGTACTCTACAAATAGAACTGCAGAGTTCAGAAAAAATACTGTGTGAGGAGATTACAAGTTCAGACTTTCCTGTGTCAGTTGTGGTGTAGAAAAATATGGAATACCTGCATGTAGTCCTTTTTTAATGGCAGTGAGATTTTAATGCATTACTGCATCAAAGAGGTTGATCTCAGCATGCATGTGGTTATTAGCCACATGTATGAAATAAGGAAGGTACCTCATAGGTGGAAGTGTCCCCATTATATCTGTAGACTGTGCCCTTTTTTCCACCAGTCAAAGACTGGTTCTACAGTGAATTTTTGGCATTTGTAAGTATATATTCTCTTGCTGCCCAGTGAGATTTTCAATGCAGCATTTTGTGTCTGAGGGTAGGTCTTGCATTATTTTGGAGGATAATATCCTCACATTAATTCCCCAGATGACATGGCCTTGGTGATTCTGCTCCATTGTATTTTGAGAGCTGTATGTTCTTGGTTTCTTCAGTTGTGATGTGTCTACTTTTCTGTACTTTTATCTTCAACTCAGGGGTCCACAGTAACTATCTCTTGTTCATTCTCAGCAGCCTGCCCCTTTTCCCTTCAGCAGGTTGCTATGGAGTTCTTGCTTTGCAGTATATATAATTCTTAATAACCTCTGGATAAAAGTCGAGGTAGAGGGATAGTCTGTGTGCTAGGCACAGGGAAATCTTGTGTGAAGCCAGATTCATTATTAAATTCAGCACCTGAAACTAACAGCTGCAGTCAGAAAATCCACCCCAGAGAGGGGTGTAGTATTTGGTTTGCAGCATTCCTAATATATTATTATATACCATCAAATGTAAATGCAGATATATCACTAAAAATTGATTTATAGTAGAATATCTGCTCATGTTTTAAGGAAATTATTAATATGAAAGTTCTCTTGCAAGGACTTGCGCTGTAAATGCTATATTGGTTTAAAAAAGTCTAGGGCTTGGGTTTTCTGTCTCCAGAAGGGGAACCTGCAACTCTGGGTCTGTCATGATGAGCCCTGTGCTGTATTCTTAGTTGTTAATGGAAAATGTTCTCACATGAAAGGGCCATAATACTCTGTTCAAAGTATAACAGAAGATTAAGCTGGTTGGTGGTGGCAGCTTTACCTCTGTAGGAAGTCTTTAAAACTTCATCCTCCTTGTGCCTCGTATATGCTCCAGATGTACTAGTAGTAATTGCAGATCTTACTGAGGTTGAATTGAGGTGAGATAATTTATTGTGTTAAAGAAAAACTATTTGTGAGACTTAAAAAAAAACATTTTAAAAAGCACAAGCACAAATGTAAAACACTGTTTTGTTCAGAAATCAATTGTTTGATATATATGTTTTTATTTTCAGTGTTTGGCGCTTACAGATCAGAGCTAATAAAAATACTGAAATTTATTTTTAGTACTTTTTGTTAACTAGACAAAATATGAGTTCTAGTATATTTTTTAAAACTCAGGGTGAGCTGACTGCAGGAAATGTTTTTCAAAAATTACTATTGAGCAAAAGCGTATACCTTAAAAAGTCAATCGTTTCAGCTTTCTGCCTTCTAGAAGTCACTATAAGTGCTATAGTAATCTAAGGGGAAAGCACACTAAACAAGCAAGGATTGTTACTACGTAGCATTCCTTCAGATCTTAACATCACAAAATCAACTAATTGGAACTATCTTCCAATGTATTTTCAGATGACAAAAGCATTTTTAATTAAAATAAATAAAGCAGCACAGAAATGGTGAAGAGACATGGGTGCCTTTTTGTATAATGTCTCTTCTGCCTTTTTTTCCAGAAAGTTTCATGTCACCTGCTAGGTTTGGTTACAAAGAATTTGTTTTTAAGGAGGCTGTTCTCTCTTTGTGACTAACAGAAAGCAAACTCAGTCTGATTAAAAGTGTGCATTACATTACTGCCTGAGGATGACAGGACTCCTACGTGAGCATGTCAGAGGGAACTGGTGGAACAGCAGCATTAAAATAGGGAGCAGGAGCAAGAGAAAGATTAAAGGAACAGGGAAGGCAGATGTGTGTCTTTGCTGGTGGCAGGATCTCATCTCCTTTTATCTTGTTTAGGTTTCTCCTCTGCCTCCTACTTAAAGGTCCATGTTAAAACCCACCACGGTGTTCCCCTTCCCCAGGTCTCCAGGCACCAGGAGTCCATCCCGAATGGGGGAGCAGCGTTCCACTGCGTCAGGACCTATGGCATCAAAGGCAAGAGACTCGCTGCTCTGCACCTTGCTGCTCTGTGCAGAACTTTGTGTTGTGGGGTGTTGGGCTGGGCACAAGAAAGGGGAGGGAGGAAGGACAGGGAAAATACTGGAGAGAAGCTTAGGGAGACGCAGAGAAATTCCGTAGCATCACATAGGATGTAATACCTGTCATTGGATGGCAGATTTAACAAGTCCAGGGGAAGGAAATGGGCTTCACACAGAAGACTGTGTGAAGCTTTGGCAGCTTCTTCAGTTTGGAAGATTGAAAAAGCATGTTTGTTCATCTTGACCCTCTTCCTTGGAGCAGTCAGCATCTGAATTTTGCCTGAGGGCAAATTCATTAGTCCCACTCCACTTGAATCGCATCAGTCAAACCCGTTTCTGGTTTTGATAGGAGCCATACTGTACATTCAGGCAGCTGTCTGTAGCTAAACTTACACTTCCAAATGCAGTTGTTGGGGAGAAGAGGAGGAGGGTGATAATAGTACCAGTGCTTTCTTGTTTTGACATTCATTTACCTTGGCGGGGGGGAGAAAAAGATGTTATTGTAAGCATAGCTGAGGAGTATTTAACTTCTGAATAAGTAAAGTAGTGTGTTTACCTGTGTAGAATAGTTTTTTTGCTTCTTGGTTTGAGGTGTCAGTATTCCTGGTGAAAGTGAAACGTCAGAAAATTCTTCAAAGCCATGGTGGTTCTGTTTTTTTTTCTTGCCCAGGAGAACACAGTGGGCTGGGTTAAATAAACACTGTACCAGCAGAAAGCTTGGGTTGTGTAATTTTTTTCTCTTGAAGTCTTGATAGAGTTACTACAGAAACCCTGTAGTTTTGGGTGGTGTGCTGACTTAACAAGAGATTTATTCCAGCTCAGTGGTGTATTGATTTCATGCATATCCTGTTAGGTTTGTAATGCTGAGTCCAGAGCAAATCTGTCTTTTGGGTTGTGCCAAGTGGTTCTTTGGTCTCTTAGAGTTCATAGTAGGTACAGCCTGTTTGTATTCAGAGACTCCTTTAGTGAGCATGTCTGGGTTTCTCACGCTCATTCACATGCACTGAGCAAAAAAGTGTGAACAAACTTCCTTGGCATAATGCCCGAGGAGAATGGGGAAGACTCCAACATACCAATGGCTTTGCCAGGAAATATATCCAAATAAGTTCAGTAATGTCCCTAACCCCTCTGCTGTTTCACACTGCAGTATTTAAAGACAGAACAATTTTAGGTTGTGAAGTTAACTTCTAACAGCGTTACACTTGTGAAAAAGAGTTCCTTGAGACTAAATGGAATTGCACTTCTTAAATTGCAGTAGCTCGCTGTTTTGCTGAGTGTTTCCAGGTTTCTTCATGTCTTGCTGCAGCCTGTTGTACTTCATGAAATTTCTAGGCACTCCCCCAAAGTATCAACAGCATTTCAGAAGTGTGCAAGTGAATTGCACAGTTGAAAACTTGTCATTAGGTCCATCCTTTTGTAGTGTCTGAGGTGTAAATATTGTGAGACATCCTTGGGATTCAAGAAGTGTTATATGAAGCAGAGACCCATTATGGTTGCATTCAGAACCATGACGAATCCCTAATGAAACCCCAGCTGTTGCTGTGATAACAGTCTGGTGGTTTGGAAAAGGGACCTATGCTCAAGGGCTTTAGGATATGAGGAATTGGATGTTAAGTGTGTATCATTCTGTTGTGACAGGCATTAATGTGATAAGGTGTTAACCAACCTAATTTATTTTAATGCATGTAAAATATCTTCCTTTGGAAGCCAAGATTCTGAAAACTTCTCTCATTTCTTTTTCCCATAGAAGGCCAGAAATGTTCACATTCGGACCCGATTGAGAGTTCTGATTCATATGGAGACCTCTCTGACACCAGTGACCTCAAGACTCCTGAGAAACAGAGCACCAATGGGTCCTTCTCGTGTGACCTGGCAGTCAGCAAAAACAAGATGGAGATGGAAGGAGAGAAGAAGTACCCGTGCCCCGAATGTGGCAGCTTTTTCAGATCGAAGTCTTATCTGAACAAACACATACAGAAAGTGCACGTCAGAGCCCTTGGTGGTCCACTGGGGGACCTGGGTCCTGCTCTGGGATCCCCCTTCTCACCCCAACAGAACATGTCTCTCCTGGAGTCGTTCGGGTTTCAGATCGTCCAGTCAGCATTTGCATCATCCCTAGTGGATCCAGAGGTCGACCAGCAACCAATGGGGCCAGAGGGGAAATGAGATCACTTGGATCTTAACAAAGCAAAGCAGCAGTCTGGCTATAATGATAAGATGCTGTGAATGAAAGAGGAAATAATGAAATTTGGTTCTATAGCTGAGAAATTTTTATTCATTTTAGCTTCCTTCTTTGTCTCATGCCCTACCCCACCTTTAAACCTTCACTGGGGAGAGGGAGAAAATGCTTCGTTAGCTGATAAATTACAGAAGATGGTGGCCTTGAATAGGAGACATGACCCAAAACAAATGGAGCTTTAGAGGCTGCTGGTGGTGTTTTCTTTGTGTTCTTTGAGAGTAATCAAAAGTTACCAGCACTGGTCTGAGAATGAGACAGACCTAGTGACCGAGGCGCCTGGGAAGCTGCAGCTACAGGGAGCTGTGATTTTATTCTCTCTCTATTCCCCTGCCCTCCCTAAACTCCCCCAGAAAAACAGTAAGTTTAAAAAACAGACCCATTATTGAATATAACATTAATTAAAATGCCCCATGGTTCCTAGCAGGTTACAATGTTACAATGCAGTTATCCTTTTAAAACCAGAAACATTTAAAGAAGGTGAGAGTATTTGATCCCCTTCTGCCTTCGTGAGGCAGTGAGTGCTGGAGCAGGACTGAACTGCTGAGAAAAATCACCTTTCAGAACAGGTTGTTTTTATTACTTTTGACCATTAAACTTGCTGTCAGGTTTTTAATTCTTTATTATTATTATTTTAGGACCTGTTGTAGTGAATTGCTACTGAAAAGCCAGTCTAAGGCGATACACAGAGCACTCGTAAAGCAGCAGTCACATTAGGGTTAGTATGATTATTTTTTTTTAGATGTACCATAATTAATGACTTGGCTAGTTGGTTGTTTTAAGTCTATGAAAGAAATAGTTTTTATGAAAATAAAAAAAAAGAAAAAAAAAAAGGAAGGAAAAATACCATTACAGTCTGGTTGACTGGTGCTCATTTTTCATGTGGGGACCTAGGGGATGAACACAATCAGCTATCGGGTTAACAGTATGTACCACTGACATGTTTAGTGTGAATAAACCCAGGGGTTCACAGAGTGATTTTGGTTTAATTGGATTGGACTCTATTAAAGAAGTTAGTATGTTACTTTGCATCCCCTCGTTTTGTCTGATTTTTGAGCAGTTTAGCCACCTGTCCAAAAGGTGTGCAAATGAGAGCCAGTAAATAATATGTGAATCCCACACTGCACTGTGCTGTATTCTCAGTGAGCAAGGCTTTTTGGCCAGTCATGCTCTGCTGATCTGTCTCTAGTCAGGTTTGCAAAAGCCACTGTTACTCCTTTCTTTTCCAAATGAGGTGGGAATTGCAAACAACATATATTTGAAAAATAATTTATTACAAAATGCAAAGAAGCTGCACTTCAGGCTGTTGGACATTCCATTTAATCTGAAAATACCACTTGTGCAGAAATAATGTCATTTCTTGACCCTCGCTTTCCTTCCATGTAACTACTCATGGTTTTATGTACCAAACCCAGGTATAAATGTTGTTTAACACAGGGTTAGGAGTTAGGAATACTCTGAGTTTTAATTATGGTTCTGCTGTTGATGCTCAAAGTCACATAGAACAGTTACCTGAATTTATTCCTTATTTTCATATCTGTGAAGAATCTTCTCTACATCACAATTTTTGGGAGAGTTACTGAGCAAAGGTTTAAGTAGTGATTTGGTAAACTCCTTTGTGTATTGAATGTTTCTAAAAAGGCCATTCTGAAGAGCCTATGTCCTGCACCGAACTTGCATCCCATGAAACAATATATATCTCCATCATTAATACAGTGCTGGAGCAGGACAGACCCTCTTGGACCAGGTTCTCGTTTGCTGCAGGAGATCTGTCTGTGTAATGCACAGAGACACAAAGTGGTGTTGTACCACAGCCTGCACTGCCCAGGTGCTTCTAATCCAAACCCTGCAGCTGATGCTTAACTGATATTCCCAATTTGTTTTTATGTTAGAATTAGAGAGGCCTTTGTACGTATATGGATTTTGGAATTACATTCTAAATTCTACAGAGTTAGAAGACCCAGATTCCCTCTTGTAAGAAGCTACTTTTTGTACTTGCTCTCGACTATTATAAATCAAGAATGAATAATCAATGGCTTTCTCTTTATAGCACCAGCACTTTCTAAATTGAGAGCATGTTGCAGTGGACTTGATGTTTTGCTATTAATCTGTGTTGGGAGACTGAAGGACATGTTCTTCTCCAGTCATCTCCTCCCAGAATCCTGGAATAGGTATGAGCCTCATTTTAAAGGAAAAAACAGTGAAACAAACAAACCCCACCACTAAAGCTTCATGGAATTGCTCTTGTACTGGTAAGATTAGTAGACAGGTAAAAACAAAACATCTTAGGAAAGTGAGAAAACATTTTAAAATACCTTACAAATCTAGTGCTGAGACAACCTTATAAGCTACCAAGCAAATCAGGAGAGAGCAGGCCTTCCAGTCAGCAAAACAATTTGTTGGGATTAGCAAATGCAGCTGCAGTCACTGATTTAGTAATAGCTCATAATTAATCCACAAGGAAAATTTCTGTTGAACTGAGGCTGTGTGCTAAAAGACAGAAGTTTTTGTCCCCAGTGTTCCTATATGCACTCAAAGAAGGTGCATTAATCATAAAATTCAACTCCAAAAGCTAAGTCCAGAGTATAGAATACTTCCATCCTACATTGATTTTAGTGTTACAAGTGGGTTGAATTTTGGCTGTACCTATCAGAATTTAATTTTGAATGCTACAGAATTTGACCTGGTGAAACAAAAGCCTTTATCTGAAAACGAAGTCTTCAAAAACACTGTGTATTCTGCTTGTCAAAGAAAATGCTTACTAAGTTGTCATGAATACACTGAATGAAAACTACATACTTCTCAGTCTAGCAGACAGGGAAACAATTAGGCAGGAGGTTAACAATCCTGAAATGACAGCTCTAGATCATCCTAGTGTAAATGGGAGAGATTTGTACCAACACAGGAGGCTCGTGCAGCCTAGTGCCACTAGGAAGTTGGACAGATCTTTAGCTGTAGTGTGTTTTCAGTGCTTTTTGCTTCTTTAGGGGCATACTGTTCTATTCTGGACAGTAATTTAATCTACATGCAAATTCTTTGTATTCTGTACTTTGGGAAATGCCTGTTTCTTCTAGAATTTGAGACAGATCCAAACAGAAAACTCAGCCTCACAAGTTCAGAGTTCAGAGGGAAGTACATAACATGCCTTGAGCTGCAGCTTGTTGCTATTACATTTTATTTTTAATTGGTGTGTAGGTGATAGTTCTGATTTGGGCCACCCTCCCTTCCTTGCCTTCCCCTTTGGAGGGACTGCAAGCCAATGTTTGAGTTGGTGCACATGTCAAGAAGGAAACTTCAGTTCATGCAAATTTATATAATCAGACTTGTAGTACTTGTTTGTATTATAGGAGTCTCATAACCTCTCATCTGAGGCTCAAGCCTTGTGTATTAGGTATGATGAAAACATCTTTAATCATTCATAATAGAAATATTAAAGACAAAAAGGAATAGATGCTTATAAGAGAATGAGTGAAAGATAAAGGACTAAAAACCACTTACATGCATGCTTAAGTGTTGTCTTAAATGTGGGGGCACAAACTTCTCAGGCTTATTTTGTTGCCTGAATTTATAAATGTGAATCCAGAACAAATGCAAGGTAAAGCAATTTAATGTGATTTTTTCCACGCTGAGTTAAATTAGGTAACATGACTTTGCATTTGTCATGTCTAAAATGTGTGCAAACAGTGTGGCTCACCTGACACATGGCAATGTGCACGTGAGCTCTCAATCCTGAGTGATTTGCCCATGATGATATGGGAAATTGATAGCAGAACCAGAAATTGAACACAGATTTTTCCTTCTCTCAATCCAGTGCCTTAATTATAGTAGGGCAAAGTATTATATGTTGGGGGGATGGGGTTTTTTTTTGTTTGTTTTTAAAGCTTAGAACTATTAAGATGGTGTGGAGTTGGTCTTCCTACCAATCTTTTGAATAATTGTAAATGCCCAGTCACAATTTGAGACCTGTTTGAGTGCCAGTGACTTAGGGAATATTTGTTATTTCCCATGTATTCCCTGAAATTACTGTTCCTCCCTCAACTGCTGTCAGCAGTAAGGAATGACTTGAATAGAAGAGCTGTGTAACTGAATGTCTATAACTCAACTAATTGAATTGCTAGTATGAAAGCTAACCTAGATTTTGTAGGCTCTGTTGTAACTTTAGTGTCTTGTTTTTTCACTAAATCTTTGTTCCTAGAATTCAGTATCTAAACTTATGTCTTGAGTCGGGAGTGGGATACCACTTTCAGCTTTAATTTTTTTTAAGGTGCTTGCTTGAGGAAGTAGATGCCAAAGTAAACTTCAAAGGAACTCCAGACTTCAGTGTTGGAAGAATGAATGGAGAGCAAGAGCTCTCCTTGGGTTTCGTGAGAGATAAATGGACAAAGCAAAAAACAGCCACCAAAATTTTAAGTAATGAAACAATAAAGGTTTTTCTTTACCACCCACAAAAACAATAAAATATTTTTAATCATCCCCATGGCATAAAATCTGAGAGCAAGTGCCAAACAACACAATGTGCTGGCTTTTTCAGCATTATGATTTTACCTTAACAGCATTGTCAATACCTAAATGTAAATTAAGCCAGCTTTGTACTGCTCACCTTTTTCTTGGGCACAATAGCTGAGTTTTATTTTAACAGAGCAGAAGCTCATAGTGAATCTCTGAGAAACTCACAGAAGCTCTGAGTAAATCTCAGTTCTACCCTGAGAGACAAAACAAATGAGCAAAGAGGGGGAAAAAATAAACCCACTAGGAAAAGAAGTTCTGGAAGGCTCCAGTGTCTCTTGAAAGAGCCATGTTTTTTCATCCTGAACATCCTTTTCAAAACAAGATCCTTCAGCTGTTGTGAATGAGCCCTTGGGAATGGATTTGGCTTCCAGCCCAATCTGCTGCAGCTCCCTGTCCCTGTGAGAAGGCAGCATGTTCCAGAGGACTGAGCCTGGGATGCAGAGGGAGGGGGCAGGCAGTGCTCCTGGGCTGCAGCCACAGGTACTGCTACAGAGTCAGCACCAGCACTGGCAAAGTGTTGTGTGCCTGCTGCTTTGATCCTCACCCTCCACACGTCCTGTGCAGTGTGGTGCCTCCTCGGATGTGTGCAGCTCTGAAAATAGCTGTTGGCTGTAAAACAAAGCAGGAGCTATTTGGCTAAGAAGAAAAAAGAGAAAGCAGCACTTTAAAAGGGTGCTATGACATAACTGCAGAGTGATGCAGCCCAGGAGGAGGAGGAGTTGTGGTGATGGTTGGAATGGTTATGGCACCTCAGTGAAAAACCACAACTGTGCACTCTGTGTTGGCCGGCAGTGATGGCCTGTTCACCAAGAATTAACACGCTGTGTCATCTCTAGCCTCTTCCTGTGTTGTGTTCCTGTCTGTAAGATGAGATGATGATAACCTTTGGGTAAGAATGTGCCAATATTTAATTGATGTACCAAATTGTGCTGCACAGTTATGCTGCTGAACTCTGTCACAAATGTTTGGCCTCACTGACTTCAGATGTAATGTAAAGTTAAACAAACATTTGGCCACATTTTTCCTGAAAGGTGTGATACTTAAATTTATTTAAAAACTGCCTGGCACTGTTGATCTGCTCTCAGGGTTTATGTGAACGAAGCTTTTCCTGGGTGGCCTCCATACTTGTGCTGCAGTTTTGGAGGCCTGGAAGTGCTCTGAGCTGAGATATGCTGAAGGAGGGCAGTAACTGGAGTCTCACTGATGTTCCAGTGACTCCCTCCCAGCTCCTGTGTTCCGTGTAGACCATGGAGTCACTTCATGCAGCCACTGGCAGCCATAAATGCTCTTGAGCATCCTGCAGTTACATAGTGACCTTGGGTAAGTGATTTTGTAATAAATCAATCTCATGCTTGCTAATACCTTTCTGGCTGCTGTGTCTACAAACTGGTGCCTTCTCCAGGCAAATTTTACATGCCCTCTGCAAAGCTGTCAGACTGACTGCTGGCTCTTAAGGAATCAACCAAGCCTTGCTCTCGGGCTCAGAATTTCTCTTCGGTACTGTTGTAATCTAAAAGTTTGC